ATCCTCTGCTTCTCAATCGGGCTCAAACTCATAAGCGATATTAACGACACCGTTGTTTACTGTACAACCGGAGCACATGCCGCTGAGGTGAGGGGCGGGACGTTTAGACTAGAGCCCAACCGATATGGGTTTTTTGGGGCCGATACCGATATTTGGGAGTAAAAAAATGCCGACATCGATATATCGGACGATATTCTTTGTGTATATTATAGTACAGTACCAGTCAAAAGTTTGGACACTTTCCCATTCGTGTGTCCAAACATTTGACTGGTACTATATATAGAATACAGTATATACATAAACAGAATATATATACATACACATTTTTTGCAATGATCACTCAAATGTGGTGATCAAACACTTATAATGATGTGACAAAGATATGTAATGATGGAGGCAGGGCATTTAACAATTTAACAATTGTTTATTCAACAAAACAAACTTTATTCAAAATGAGTCTGACATCAGTGCACTGAACAGTAAAGTTGAAGTTTATTCAAGTTAATTTACCTCTGTAAATAAATAGAAATTCACGTCTCACGCACTTTAATGTTTTCCATAGTCTTAAGCTTTAAAGCGTTTCATCCAGGTCGCCAGTAACAAATAATGGAGCGCGCTCTGCAGGACAAACTAAGTAATTACACCATTTCAAGCATTTTATCTGTGTTATATGCTCTGTAAAAAAAAAAAAATTTCATATCGGTGGCGTATTCGCGGATACCGATATATTGGCGACTGGCTCATAACGGCCGATAATATAGGCTAAACGATATATCGGTTGGGCTCTAGTTTAGACGCGCACTAGAGGCGGTTTAGCCAATCACAACACACTTGGCTAGCTAACCAATCAGAGCCCATCACCTATTTCTGAGGGAGGGGCTTCATAAAAGAAGGAAATGATCAGCGTGTTTCTCATATAAGGGACAGAGCGGTATGAAATAAAGGTAAATTGTGAAAAAGAATGCGTTTTTTAAAAAACAAAGCATTAACACATTTTAACACAATCAAGCCTAGAAAAAAAAACAGTGAACCACCCCTTTAAATTCATTAAAGCTGAATTTATTTGATCAAAAATACTGCAAAAAAAAATATTGTGACATATCACAATTTAAACTAATATTTTTCTAATTTAACATATTTATTCCTCATGGCAAAGTTAAATTTTCAACAGCAATTATTCCAGTTTTCAGTGTCACATGGTCCTTTAAAAATCATTCTAATATGCTGATTTGGGGCTCAAGTAACATTTCTTATTATCATCATATGATAAAATGGTTTTGCTTCTTAATATTATTTGTTGAAACCATTTTATATGATTCTTTGATAAATTGGAAGTTTGAAAGCACAGCATTTATTAACAGGATTTTTTTTAAAGTCCCCCTGTAGTGAAAATCAAGTTATGTTGTTTATTTGTCTATATGGTGTTTTTAATATGCTTTTAGACAAACCATGTGCCAATCCATTAATCAACACCATTGCTGAGTATTTTCTCCTTAAAACTGTACTTTCCCAAAGGCAGTCCCAGAAACGCGGTTTGAAACAGCCCTTTTTTTTTTCCAATAACCAATCACGTCAAGGGATCCTATCATTAGCATATCATTAACCATGCTGCGAAGCAGGAGGCCTAGTGAGAAGGTAGCCAGGTTTATCCATATATTTTTCTGTAGATGTTTCGCTAGCTGTTGATATTTTTCACTATTTTCGATGGCATGTGCTGTTAGCGCTTATTTATTTGTATTTAGAACCGCTAACTTGAATAATAACCCGCGGCAACAGTGTAAAAGTAGCCCACTGTCAGACCAACCTCTCCCGCATTGGCATCCGTTCTTCACTCGCGGGTGCGAACTGGAATCACAAACTTGGCTGCATTCGAGTATTCAAAGCATTTTGAAGACACAACATCGTCAAGTAAGCAACTTTAACTAATGTTACAGTATCCACTGTAGTTGTCCGCTAGTAAAAACAGTTTTATCAGTCATTATCCATGGACCAGGAGACCTTGGCTTGTGAGACTGAGTGGAGGCGGGGCTAATTTGCGTATTCATAGTTCCGCGTATAGTCAGAGGCGGACAGTAACTAAGTACATTTACTTGAGTATTGGTCAAGCAAAATCGATTCAAGTATTTGAGTGAACTTCACAAGGAATGGACTGATGCTGGGGTCAAGGCATCAAGAGCCACCACACACAGACGTGTCAAGGAATTTGGCTACAGTTGTCGTATTCCACTTGTTAAGCCACTCCTGAACCACAGACAACGTCAGAGGCGTCTTACCTGGGCTAAGGAGAAGAAGAACTGGACTGTTGCCCAGTGGTCCAAAGTCCTCTTTTCAGATGAGACAGGGCTCGACAGTGCGACTGACCCGATCATCATCATACTTGTGATCGCTGAGGGGAGCTTCAAATGTTTTTATGTGTTTTTGCAGCGTCGAGTAATGTATCACAGACATATCTCACAAATCCTTTCATAAGCAAAGTGTAGACAGGGTGTAAATAAGAGATTCATTGCGCAGTGTAGAGAGCTTCGTTGATTATAAATGTGAGATCGCGATGAACTAAGATGAGTGACAGCTTTTAATGATTTTTAAGGGAGATTGTAAATGTGATACTGATTTAATACAATACAATTCAATGTGTGTGTGTGTGTGTGTGTGTGTGTGTGTATATTATATATATATATACATATACGCCACAAACTTTTTTTTTGACATTACCTGTGGCTCATGGGAACAAGACAGACCTCACAAATACCTTGTGGTACAAAATAGATCCAGAAGCTCATTAACAATCGTGTTCTTGCTGGTGGATCCAAGCGTTCCTCTACTTCACAAATGTCTGATACCACAGGAGCAGAAAACAGCCCAGAGGACACAACAGCATACAGACACCCCTCCAGGACATCTACTTGATTTTAGTAAGCAGGAAGCCACCCTTAAAAACATTCTGCTTATGTAAGATAAATGTAAACAAACAAACCTCCCAGTCTGTTTAACCCTCGTAAACACATTTAATTCATTTTAAGATAAAACGTCAGCTCTGTTTTGATTATTTTACAATTATTCAGCATGTGCAGTGTTTGCATCACAAATGTTATTTGTGGTTCAGTGGTGCCCACTAAAGCACTGAAGGTTGCTTCCGAGTCAAACCGGTGTGCCTCACTTTGATGCTTGGACAGTGAGCTGAATAATGACCCAGATATCGAGCTGCACCTCTCATACACGGAGAGTGGTGTGGCTGTGGGCCCACACCTGTTGGCAATATTAAGGTGGCACAGCAGACGCAGCCTCCCTAGTATGACTGGCATACTTAGACATTCTTATCAAGAGAGTGCTCTTCAGACCCTCCACTCCTTTTCTGCCTGTTTATCACGGTCACACTCATCAGATTAAAAAAATGGTAGATAGATAAGCAGTAAGTCATGCTCTTTCAGTGTATACAGTGAATATTCCAGTTCTCAGTAGGCACAAAATGCTGTGTAGGTAGGCAGCTCAATATGTTTTGTGCCACAGCCATTGAGACCTGGAGATGTAAACGTTGTCCTAACATGGTGGTGGTCTTTTTCAGAGAGACTAGCTCGGAAATTCCTGCTGAAATGTGGCCTCTTCCTTCCCAAACACAGTGAGGGAGGTTTCCTATACAGTCACTGCTTTAAACACAAACACCTGAATCATTCCTGTCTAACAAGTTTTTAAATAAACCATATGATCATTTCGCTTTCAGTAGCCTACAAAACAGACCATGACCAGCGGTTTTGTCCAAAACACATTTGGGTCAATGACAAACAAGGAAATCCTGGATTACAGAAAGTCTTATATTTGTAATGGTTTCATACATTTTTCAAAAACATTGATTCTGTTTTCTAAAAAACAATTAAAATTTATATATTTCAAGTGATGTAACCATCAAGCATGAAGTAGGCCTACTAAAATATTTAAAATTAAACTTGATTACTTAATTATATTCAATTAAGCTCTCAAAAATGAAGTAAAAAAAATCATATTTTTATCAATAAGTATTTAATTTAAAATTTAATTTTAATACGTAAAAATAAAATGTTTATTTTTAAAATCATTTTACTACCTATTTATCTTACAACAGAAACAATAATTCTAACTTCTTACTCCAACATTTCCTCTCCTCAAGAAAAGCCGTTTTGTTTTCGTGTCATGTGACGTCGACATGGCGGCGTTCGTGAGGAGACGACCTGCTCCATATAGAAAAAAAATAATCTGTTTTTTAATGGAAGATTTAAGTCTTCGTCTCACGTAAGTGTACATTTTAATCATATTACTTTAAAGTTATGTGTAAAACTTTTGCTATTAATAAAAACTTAAGTGCCCATTTAACATTACATTTCAAAATGAATGACCATCACGTCATTAACCAAAATAAAATAAAATAAATAAATACAAAAGTTTGGCATGAATGCGCCTGAGCGCACAAACGTGAACCATTAACCCACACGAAAGAGCTGAAAGTTAGTAGTTTTATTTCGAGGCGCGGTCTTTCATCTTCAAGTTTCATTCATGAACGCTCATCTATGTGCCTTTATGAGCGTGTTATATTGTAATGTTTGCATTTCTGAACTGAACTAACAACGACCTCGTGGACCAAACACAACGATGGTTTGGTGTTCAACAGGGGTGTTGCCTCACACTCCCATGCCAAATCCATCTGAATCTAGTGCTGTGGTCAAAAACAAACACTGCGCTACCGAGCTGCGCGTGAAAACAGGTGGTGACCACAGCGAAACACGCCGCAACTTCGGCGATGCGTTTGTGTCCTAATAGATCACAGTCAGATATGTCGGTGTGTGTGTTTTCCAGGCTTTTAAAGAAACACGTCAAGTTGTTGATCTTCATTAAAGACGCTTTTCTGAAGCCAACACCTACTTCTTTTCTCCCTGCAGAAGTGATTAGCCGCCCGCGAAAGGGCTCTTGGTTTATCCACGATCTAATCAGAACTAATAACAACCCTCAATACTTTGAAAATAAACTCTTACCTTCTTATCAAACTGAAGTTTCGTCGCTAAAGGTTTCGTTTTTGCTTGGCGCAGTGTGTGTGTTCAAGTGTTTTGCTGGCCGTGGAGGAGCGGAGCGCTGCCGTTAGATCCTCCCACAGACCATGGACACAGGCTGCTGAAGTTCTCTCTGCCCGATCGCGATTGGCTCGAAGGGAGGAGCTGCCGGTTACAGCCGCGCCCCCAGCCGTTAAAACAGAATGACATCATTGGCACGAGCGGCGGCGGGGGGTTGAGGTGTGCGCGCAGTGCGAGCAGGACCAGTCGATTGCATTCCAAATGCATCATATGCGGTTCTGTATGCGACTGAATCAGTCTTTTGAGTCGGATGTTTGTAATAAAGCGATCGATCCAGTTCACAAAACCGGTCTGAATGAATCATTCCAAGCGTTTCTGAAAAATGACTCACCGACTCATTGAACCGAGCTCATTTCAGCAGGTCCGATTCGCATAAACTGAAAACGTGAAGCTCAGTGGCGCAAAAACGGGGTATGCAGTATATGCAGTGCATAGGGGAGCCGCACATAGGGGGGCGCCATTTTGCCGAAATCATTCTGTTAAAATCTTCTTTAATAAAACTATGTAAATAATCAAAAGCTAGTTGTTAAAATAATGTAATGAAACATTTTTTGTTAAACGGGTTTTAGCTTTTCTAATGAGTTCAAAAATGTATTTATTCTAAACTAAGACGCGGAACGGTCGTATCTCTTTACGACCACAACAAACGGGAGACTTTTCAGATGCGCACTTCAGCTTTCCTTCAGCGCGCTAGTCAAACAAGCGCGGAAAAGGTGCAGGAGCCAAATGAGCTTCAGTAGAACAACAGTGAACTGCGGTCTGATGAGATGTTGTTATGTGTCAGTAAAACAAACTTTCCTGTCCTGTCCCGTTTTACCGTGCTCAGGGCCCACGCTCTTCAACTGTAGAAGGCTCACGCTCTATATCACTTCATCATAAATAAACCGCACAAGAAACTTCGACCATACATCGTCAATTAATTCATGAAATTACCAAAATGCCGATTAAAGCTGCAAAACTGCATGCATGTTTGTATTGTATTTAGCTTACTCAGTAGAGCTGCATTCTTAGTTACATGTGCCAAATGAGCTTCAGTAGAACAACAGTGAACTGCGGTCTGATGAGATGTTGTTATGTGTCAGTAAAACAAACTTTCCTGTCCTGTCCCGTTTTACCGTGCTCACGGCGCACGCTCTTCAACTGTAGAAGGCTCACGCTCTATATCACTTCTCTTGAGTGAGGGGGCGGGCGTTACAGACACCCGTTACAGACCATTCCTTCATCCAGAATCACTCCAGACCCTTCAGATTCCCAGCTCCATGATGGTGCTTCTCCTCTTCAGTTCACCACACTCATTTTCTATGGTTGTGGTCAGAGGACTGGAATGGCCATAGCAGAAGCTTTGTTTTGTGCCCAGTGACCTCTTTTTGTGTTGATTTTTATGTTTGTTTTGAATCACTGTCCTGTTGTAAGATCCAACATTGGCCCATTATACGATTTCTAGCAGAGTCAGTCAGTTTTTTTTATTTTATTTTATCTGTTGTTATTTGATAGAATTCATGATGCCTTCTATCTGAACAACATATTCAGGATCTCTGGCAGAAAAATAGGCCCACAGCATTAAAGATACAGTATATTTCATTGTACAAATGGGGTACATTTTTACTCCTGTGTTCACCAAACCCATCTTGTTTGCTGCTAAAAAGCTCTTTTTTTTTTTTAGTTTTATCTGACCTTGGAAGCCAGTCCTCTTTGAAGTTCCAGTAGTGTCTGGCAAATTAAAATGCTGGAGTTTGTTTTTGGATGAGAGCGTTTTCTTTTCTTGATTTTCTTCTTGAAACCGTCCCAAACAACGTGTGGTGATGTAGGTGCTGTTTGATCATTTTTTAAAGGTTTTCTGACCCTCTGAGACTCAACTATTTCCTGCAATTCTTCAGGCTGTGATCCTTGGAGAGTCTTTGGCCACTTAAACTCTCCTCCTCACCGTGCATTAGGACGATACAGACACACATCCTCTTCCAGGCAGATTTGTAGCAATTTCTGTTGATTGGAACTTCTTAATTATTGCCCTGATGTTGGAAATGGGAATTCCTAGTCACCCTGGTGTGATACAAAATGCAAATATAAGGGTGATTCTATAATTGGAGATACATTTGGCATTGCAGAAAGTTAAGAAAAAAACTTTTCATTAACAGATTTTTTTTTCAGTATCTTATTGAAAACATATTTAATTTTAATAATTCAGTGCTTGCCAAACACAAGTTACTTCCTTTTTTACTTTTAATGAAAAAAAACCCAGATGTCTTT